TATCATAAATCACACATTTGTCAACATGCATTTGATAATTGCCATAAAATTCAATGGAATAATTCCACAATTTTAACAAAAGAACAATCCACAAAAAAACGTAAAATTAAAGAAAGCGCACTAATTTTACTAAATCAAAATAATTGTGTTGCTTAATTTTCATTTAATTTAAGTCATACATGGTTACCTATACTAAAATCTGAAGTAGACCAAAGAAACATACACCCAAATTAAATTTACACCAAAATTATTAATTAACATTACCTTTATTAATTTAAACAATGAGATTAAGTCAAAGTCACATAACTAAATAATTCGTTCTTATTGCGAAATAGGAGCACTATTTATCAATCTGTAATAAAAGACGTAAGGAAATTTTTAAAGACAAAAAATTTTGAGGCAAATACCGAAAAAGACGTTTATAAAAAATGAATCAGCCTCAACAATATAGAACTTATCTACAACCTTTCCCTTAAAGTTAAACGGTTCTAATTAACAAAGCTCATTATGTCGCTCATGTAAGTTAACCGAGTTCACTTCAGATCATAAAAGCCATAGCTTTAATTTGCCCCTTGGAAGCCTTCGGCGTCGCAAATTAGATTCTACAGTCTCCTTGTGTCCCATAGGCGCATACAATATCAAAGGGAGCGCGAAACAGTTTCTTTTTGCCGATTTTTTCCACGAATGTCCAAGTAAATTCCTGTCCATTGCAGTACATCCGGGTGGCGCACGACACAAAGCCCGACCATCTGATGCAGCTGATTACTCGCGAATGGGGCCTGGAACTGCCCAAACTGCTGATTTCGATCCAAGGAGGAAAAGCCAACTTCGAGTTACAGCCAAAGCTAAAAAAGGTGCTGCGCAAAGGGCTTCTGAAAGCTGCAAGGTCCACTGGAGCCTGGATTTTCACCGGAGGAACCAACACTGGTAAGTGCTTCCACCTACGTTTTCATCTACAGCTACCATCGATATGTGGAAAACTCTAATTTGGACAAATTTCGAAATCGGACACTATCCCGGAGCCATTGGGGGCAAGCGATATAAAATATTTTTTAACTATCAACAACAAAACTGTACAACTTTTAGGAGGGAGGTCTTTCGCTATAAAAGTTTTAGGTCCATCAGTTATTTAAAAACTCGTTAAAAAAATTGTTTGCTTTTTTCTGTTCGTAACTGGCCATCAAACTTTCAAAGTTTACTGAACTATGTATTTTATTTTAGGTGTTACGAAACACGTAGGAGACGCTTTATTGCTGGAAAGATCTCAAAGAACCGGCAGAGTCAACACCCTGGGAATCGCTCCATGGGGAATTGTGGAAAACAACCAAGATCTTATTGGGCACAACACCGAAGTGCCCTATCATTCAATCTCGTCGCCCAGGTAAGTCTGGTATTTCGTTCGGGATAAAAGTGCTTTGCACGTTCAATCCAGATGAATTTATTGAGAAAAATCCCAAAGATTTCCTATTCATTGGCGCATTATTAATCAAATGAATAAAGGTCGATAATGTAACAAAAAGAGTGCCTAACAAATGGAAATGCCCAGATGCCAACTTAGAATAAGTGGGAAATGGGTAGGAAAAGTCATGCGAATTTCATCTTTTTGGCACGTGTGCCCACGTGCCTTAATCTCATCTTCCCGATGTCATCATCGATCTCCTCAAGAAAACAAAAAGATATCGGATTGGACAAAGCTGTGACAGCCTGTGTGAAGCCAGGATAAATCCAGAAGCAAATTTACTGCGCTTATTGCGTCTCGCGACCCTCATCATTGAGGCCTAAGTTGGAGTGAAGAAAATTGGCATTTATTCATTAACTCAGCTGTTAAAAATAACGAGATTATTGCGGTTTTCAAAGTTGGGAACTGTTGGGAAAATTACAAATGAATTTGGGTTTAGTACAATTAAATTATATTCTAAGTGGTTATCAACTTCCGAGTCCATAAAATGAGGAGTCAGTCAATATCCTCCCCTTCCGATCCGAAGATCCTAAAAACGCTCGCCATCGAACCGTGCAAGCAATGGAAGATTCGAAAAATTCGATTTTTTATGGGAAATATCAGGATACTTGAGTTGTGCCCTACTAATTTTTTTAGAAAATATCCGCATCTCTAAACCAGCGTTAAAGGATTACGGCTGAAGGCCTTTTGAGGGACAATATTGCACCCAAATGAAACTGTGGATTATTAAAGGTCAAAAAGCACGCGTGGGTGGTTTGTTTGGATTCTCCAGAAGTTACTGAATAAACGCGTAGGAGGACAAGTAATTGGGTTAAACTGGGGCAATCATTAACTTTGTTCTCTTCTAAATTATATTTTCGATTGTTTATATATCATTCTTCTGCCTTTCTTTGTCCTACTAAAGGCAAATAGGCGGCTTACAAAGTAATTTCAAACTAAGTAATAAGTCGATCCCTCTTCAATGGGCATCGTGCCGGCCATTATCCAGGAATTTGAGTCAACATGCCACATTCGAGAATATCAAAGGCGCTTACCGTCCATTCCGAATGTTTGTGTCCGCCGCTGTAGTCCCTCAAGAATTCGGTCTGAAGAGCCACCAGGACCAATTTAAGAACATGGGATTGTTCGTGCCTGAAAAAACCCAACCAGAATTTACTGTCATGGAGTTTCTAATAAAATCTGCAAATTAGGTCCGTTTCGGGTTGAGCGTGGCAAATTAACGATCGTTTTTCCTGAAAGATCAAAAAAATAAAACTGGTTGCGAGTAAAGTTTGATTTTTATTGCAACATATAAAGTTGGATTTAATGTTTGCAGAACGCGCTGATAATAAACAAGATTGTATTTATTTGTGCGCCGCGAGTGTTTGGATAGGAAAAATGCTGAAATTCTATTTATTCGGTTGAGAAACCATCTGATGATGTATGAAATTTGGTGATACTCGAATGTGCAAAAATAGTGAAATCGGGGATCAGCTTGCACTCACCACTTTAAACCCAGAACTCTCATGGCCACCCGACAGTTCTTCTTGTTACCGTTTTTGGATAATGCGACGTGCAAAGGAACGAGAATTTTGATGTCATCCGGCTTGAGTTTGATGATTTCCTTCTGCACTTTACTAAGTCGCGTGGACATGTAGTCGATTAACTTCATCTTAGCCGAGAAAGTCAAGAGGTTTTCCAGCTCTTGCGGTTTGTCTCGACTGATGATGTCGGTTATTTTGCAAACTGCCCTGGAAACTGAACGTTTTTATCACACAACTGGTGCAGTCTTCCTGACTCTTACCTGGTGGTGCCATAAATGAAAGCCCCTTCGGAAAATTCTGGATCCCAGGCATTTTTCAGCACCTTGAACTTGAACTTGTTTTTGAGCCATTTTATGATTTGAGGCACATAAATTAAGTCGGGGGTTTTGGGCAATTTTCGATGGGTCATGTGCTGAAATCGATGCGGCTGGACTGCGAACGAGTCGGTCGGATTTGGTCTTTTCGGGTTCGATCTGATAAAACTTTTCAATTCGCTCAAGTGCCGTTGAATTAGTGGCATTGTCAACTTTCAAGTATGAATTATGGGGTCGGGATGAGACGCTTTGAGTACTGAAAATTTGCTTATTGTAGAATCATTATGAGATTGAAATAGTTTTGACGTCTGAACGTGACAAGGTATGGTGTTTCCAAGGTTTGGTCTGGTTCATCATTCAGGAGCTCATTCATCTAGTAACTTTTCCAAAGTTTGTGATCGGTAGGTACTTGTGCAGGTTGCCCGTTAAATTTCACGCAGGAATAAAAACTACCATCATCAGACATTAAGCAGACATAAGACAGAAAATTAAGGTCTTAAATTGTTTTTGAAACTTTCTTCAACTCAAGGGCGGACCCCC